CCTAATCTCTTTTTAAATTCTTTGTGCTGCTAAAATGAAAGGAAAAATTCAGAGCTGGAAGAACAAAAAAAACTCCAATTCTGAGAATTCTGAGTCACTCCAGAAAGGTCAGTGGAGGCTGGGTTAACCCATTGTTTCCCAGAGGGCTGCTCAGCTTGTGGGCTGTGCTCCTGCAACCCTGAGCTTTCAGAGAGGGGTCTGGTCTTTGTTGGGCTGGCTGCAAGGCTCTGGAAGGCATCTTTGGGATTACTGTGAGAGGTCATTATTGCCAAGAAAGCCACCCATGAGCTGTTAGGCATGGCCATGCAAGAGAGTCAGATTTCTGGTGCTGCCTTTTATGAGTGATGTGACTTTGGGCAAGTCTTCAAGTCTGTTTCTTCATCTATAAAATGAGGCTAATCATAATGTTTAATAACGGCAACCCATCCACTGGGTTGCTGAACAGGGTTGCTGAGTGCATTGAATGGGATAGTCTCTGTAAAGATCCTTAGTAAATCATGACTCTTAATGATGACTCCATGCTGGTTGGAACACAGACAGCCCCCCTCAGTCGTCCCCCACCCCTCCACTGAGACAGGATGGGCTTGTTACCCAGTTATGGATGGACATGCTGTGCTTGTACAGCCACTCTGTCAAAGCATCCCTCTCCTGCCTCCCTGCCCTCTCCCCATAGCTCACAGGACCCTACACCAGCTAATTTCAGGGGCAGAGCCTGTGCTGTTGACCTAATGAGTGTGTCACTTTCTGGGGTGAAAGGTTGATGGATAAACCACTGGGCAGTTGTATGAAGGGAACAGTCAGAAGATGAGTAAGTGAATGGATGGACTGATGGAAGGATGGATGAATGCGTGGGCCTGCCCTCCAGCAGTGGGGGTCTTGCCACCTCAAACTGTGGATTCATTTTTTTGCCCCCATAAGACCCTGGTTTGACAACCTACTGCTTCTTATCCCTGTCCCAACCCATCCTGAGAATTCATACTTCACTCCTTCATTCTGAGGCAGGGACCCCATGCTGGATTCTACTGCTACATTCAAGCAGAACTCATGGTGGAGGAGGCAGAAAAAGGGGAAAGATGATGAGGCTTGGAATGGGACCAGCCTAGATTATAATCCTTGATGAACCATTTATTGGCTGTGTGGTCTCAAGCAAGTTTGCAGAACCAATCTGATCCTTAGTTTCTTAATATATAAAATAATAAAACCCATCTCATAGGAGTTAAATAAGATCGCATTTGAAATGCACCTAAGTGTCTGGTACTCAGTAGGCAACCTAGAAATATCTGATGAATAAAATAAAGAATATTAGTTTGCTTTCTTTCATGAGCATGACCAGGGACAGATAAAATATTTAAGTATGATTTTGAGATTTTTGACCTTTTCAGTTATGCAAATGATTGGCTAGTCATCCCAGAACAGGCTTGGATTACTTGTGCCATGTGTAAATTAGGTAACTGGACCCAGTCAAGTTACTTGAGTTATCTGCACCTCAGTTTTCCTTCCCATAAAATGGACCAGGTTATACTTAAGCATTAGCTGGGGGCAGGATGAGTAGAGGCCAAAGAGCTGATTGGCTCTTGGTCACACCCTCCCTAACTCTTTACTGACTAGGCTGGAGAGGCAGTGAGAAGAGTCCTGAAAATGGGTTAAAGGAGGAGCAGCTTGGAGACCAAACATTACTAAATATTTTTTCCTTTTTTGGGTTGGTGCTCTAGATCACCACTTCCTGGAGATTGTATTCTAAACTTTGCTGTGATGGATGTAAGGTCCGCGTGCCCACAAGCTCCAGCGGAACCCAGATGTCACCCTGGGGGAGGAACTCTGCTTTACCTTGCTATTTTAAGCAGTGAGTTTATAGAAATGGATGGGAGAAAAAGCAAATGAGGCAGGAGCAGCGTGGGAATGGAGGGAATGGCCTCTGCAGGCGGGGCTGTTGAGGCTTCCTTTGCAGAGCTGGGGGTTCCATCTTGTCAGTGTGGGACCTCAGCCAGCCTCCACTCTGCTTTATTCTGCAGCAGCTGACATCTCGTAGTGCTTGTTTGACTTACTTTGTTTCTGTTTTACTTTGTTTTCTGACTCAGGGACTAACTAAAGGTCTTTCTTGAGGAAATAAGTGGTGGAGGAAAGGAAGCAGAAGATTAGAAAATAATTTGGAATATCATGATCCCCAAAACCTATGAGAGAGGACCATCAAGTCTGTGGTTTGTTGTGACTAGGAAAAATCCAGGATTTAAGGATCATCTCAGGTTGAGGCCTCTGGAGTAGATTAGGAATCCTTTGATTCTTGTCCCACCTTTTGCTAAAACTCTCCCTGGAATGGAAATTCACCCACTTAAAAAGTCCTGAGAAGAGCAGCCAGTAGAAAGTTTTGCTTTGCCTTGATCTGCACTTTCAGTCACTGGCCATACACCTATACTTCAAGGACAATAGAACTATAATAATGACTTCCAAATGTCTGAGATTTTATTTCCACTTGTACCTACTCTTCTCCAGAATAAAGGTGTTTAGTTCTTCAAACATAAATTCTTGGCCCCCCTGCATCTTTTTTAGAATATATCCCAATTTGTCTGAATCCTTAGCAAGCACAATAGATTGTGGAGATTAAGGCATAAAGAAAAAGTAGAACACAAAATAGAAAAAGTAGTCACTTCCTATATTTTTGAAACAATGCTCTATTAAGACAATCTGTACCTGCATACATATCACACAACATTTCATGGGAGGTGTAACCAACTTCCCCGATAGAACTGGAGTTTAGGACACTCTCTTGCTACCTCAACCCTTGTTAGCACATACTTTGCTCAACTCCATTCACATCACTGCTGCTGAAGTCCAAGTAAAGGTGATGGAACTTAATCTCAGAGTTCACCTGTGGGTAAACTTGATGCTCATTTCATTCATACCGTCACCATTTGGGATGGAGATATAGGATGCACAGCCCTATACTGCCTGTTCCCGAGAGCAAGGCTGTCTCTGTCCAGTAGGGATTCTGCCTTCTTATTTCACTTACCCATGTAGGTCCCCAACTATTCTGTTCAGAGAAATTCCATTTCACATTTGAGTACTGATGGTTCAGTTCAAACACCATTTCTAATGTGAAATCTTCACTAAAATTATGCCCTACCCCAGTCCCAAAATCCATAGTTACAGACATTTTTCTGGGATCCCACAAATTCTTATTTTCAAAGTGTTTACTCCCATTACACTTGTTTTCCAACTGTTTCCCATGTTTGGACTATGTGGCAGCTTCATCTTGTTTATGTCACCAGCACCTAGCACAGGTAGAATAGGTGTACAGCAAGTGTTTGTGTGAGTTACTCAGTCCATTGATGTTTCTGCTTGAGATGAGATTACTTAAGCTGGCCAGCAGGGGTCACCCCAGCTGTTTCAGAGCTGAATGGGGAGTTCTTTCCAAAGCAGAGGATGACAAAAGCCAAGATGGTGGTCACAGTGACTAATCCTGTGGCTAAAGTTCTCTAAAGACAAATCAACAAGCACTGCTTGATGAATCTTTTGGGTATCCATGATGAACTAGACTCTTCATCTGCTTCAAGAGCTCAGTCAGAGATGTGTGTTGGGTGGGGTATCTATCAGAGCAGTGGTTGATGCCAAATCAGAATGCCCCATAGCACTTTGGCTGTGGAGCCTTCTTGGGGATAGGGAGAATATCTAGTATCGTGGGAGGTGGTGGGGCTTTCCTCTCCAGATGGAGGCCTGCCATTACTTGTCTTTTTCTAAGCGGCAGCAAAGCAACTAGACTCATTGGCTCAGGTCTGTTGGAAGTTCATAGCCCTTAGCCTCTAACCTGGCAAAAAACATGAAAGAGCAATTAATAGTTACAAGGGGCAGAAAATCCAACCCAAACAGACTTAAATACCAAGAGATTTAATTATTTGTGGAACTGGCTAGTTCAAAAAGCGTTTGGGCAGTCAATGGACTTTGATCAGGGATCCAGTTCCATTTCTTTGCTGGTCTCTTTACTCTGCCTCCTCCTCTGTGAATGTCACTTTAATCCTCAGTCTGGCTTTCCTCGTGGAAGTAATATGGTAGGTCTTACACCAGGTCTCACATCTGCACACTCTACCACCTAGAGCAACAGAAAACAACTGGGTTTCAGAACACTGCCGTGTGCTCACTGGTTTAGTCTGTGTCTATTGCCATCTCTGAGCCAATCACTGTGGTACGGTGGATGAGATCATGCTGATTGGGGTCAGCTCTAGCCAGAATCTCAAGGCTGCTACACCATGGGCGGGGGTAAACCTGGCTCCGGGGGAACCAACCTAACGTTGCTAGGGATGGGCACTGCCTGAGGCACATGAGATCCACCCTGACAGAGCTTCCAGAATAGTGGCATTAACAGGGCTGACAGGCCCAATGAGGGCTATTCTCCAGTGAGAGAGCCCATAATAAGGGTCAGAAGAACTGCCAAAAGGTGTGAGGGTAGCCATGGGGCAGGAAGTACCCTTCTTCCTCTCCCACCTGGACAAGGAAGGCTGTGTGGTATAGGGGGAAAAGCCTGGGCTTTAAAATCAAATGTATCCTTCTTCTCTGAAGCAATTCTATAAAATGTGAACATTAATGCCTGCAATAGAGGTCATTGTGAAATTAAATTAGGTGACAGTGGTAATGCTCCTAGGAGTGCCCAGCACCCAGTAGGTGCTCAAGAAATGGTAGACAAATATATATCTGATTTCAATGGAGTGTTCTTCATTAGCCATGGCGTAGTGGAGTTTGAAGCAATTTTCTCCCTCTTAGGATAGCAGTGTTTACTGTAAGCACCAAATTGGAGGCAAAAATCTCTAAGGCCACCTCTGACTTTGTAAACAGAGCTAGTGAGTAGGAGGAAATGAAATTCCAAATGCTTTCTCCCAGCCCATTTCAACCTCTGGCATTGATGCAAGCCCAAGGAGGCTCTCTCTGCAGTTTATGGCTCCTGGAAGCAAAAACCCAACTTGGGTCACGGATGGGAGTGGATTTGACTTGTCCTTTTGGCGTCTCCTCAGCCTGCGGAGCCCAGTTCTCTTGAAGCATCTCTGGGGCTGACGCAGCGGAGGTTCCGGGCACGCTCAGCCACTCCTGCCAGGAGGCTGCCATGCCCCACATTCCTGAGGACGAGGAGCCCCCCGGAGAGCCACAGGCGGCCCAGAGCCCTGCCGGCCAAGTAAGTGTCCCCTCCCTGCCTGCAGCTAGACTGACAGGAGCCAAGCCAAGAACTCTGGGCCGAGGCCACAGTGCTTGGCCTCACCAGAGGGTTGGCTCAAAGTCTGTGCAGGCTGCAGTGGGTACCGGTGGGTACACTGAGAAATAAATACCTCAAGTTCCTTTGAATTGCTGAAGGCCCTCACATATCTGAGAATGGAACCTCTTAGGCTGTCTGACTGAGGCATCCTGGGAAGTCGAATCATCCTAAGCCTGTAGGTGCCCTCTGTAGAATGGAGAAAGCCATCAGCACAGAGGGCCTCTCCACGTCAGGGCCATGGGCATCAGCACATGATTATTTAAAGTGAATCCACTTAAAAAGAAGATAAAAACTCCACAGTAAACAGTGAAAAAAGTTTTCAGTAAAATTGCATTCTGAAGATGGAAATAAGTTAAAAGTCTTGTGGTGACTGTATTGTACAGATCAAATTATGCAAACAAGTGTCATTTAGCTGGGCATTACAAAATATAGATTATGTGTCAATTTTTAGAATGGAAGGATTTGTCCAGTGCATTGATTTGGGTGTTGGTATATTTATTTCCTATATTGGTTAAATGATCTGTTCACATGATACCACACCCTTCACTTTTTTACTGCACAGCATCTCATTAAGATATGAAATTTGTTTAATATCTAAGCGTTTCATTCATTTTCCCAAGGACCTCTTTCAATCCATCAATATTCAAATCTTTCCCTTATAAAGAACCCATCTTGCTGTCATCCTCATAACTTTTTCTTCATTTGTTAACCAATCAGCTCTATCTGCTCCTCATTGGTCCACAGTCTTGCACATGAAGTTTTCCAGCCGTATATTCTTTGACTTCATGAACTTGGCAGTTGGTTTGCACTAAACTTGTACCGTCCTGTTATATCTGATGGTCATCCAACTGACCTCAGCCAGAAGGGACAGACACTTGTTAAGTGAGAGAGGAATGTAGGAGTGAGCATTCACTTGATAAGTGGGCAGATACTTAGAGAATATTTTCATGTTATGATGATGTTTGTTTCCTTACACACCATAACTGTGGGAACTTAGACAGTAAATACTTACAAAAGAATGGCCTCTTATAACTCATATCCTAAGTTCACAGGGTTGAGATGTTTCAGAACTTGGCTGCCTTTGGGAGCCCTTGAATTTCTAAATGACATAGGCCAATCCCCCATGCCTTTGGCTGCACACAGGCTACCAGCTCAGGGTTTTACTAAGTGCTTCCCCCCTCCCCCAAACATGTTGGGTAAAGTTGGCTTCTGCTCATCACTTGCTTTCAGTGGCTCCTCATCAGTCCTCAGTGGGTGGCACCTGGCTTCCCTCAAACAGTGCTCTGCTGCTGCCGCTTTCCTACTGCTGCTCCTCACCAACAGTGGAAAGTCCTCCAAAGCACTGCAATAGGAGCCTGCAGCTGTAACCAACAGCTCTACTGAAAGTGTGGGATAAAGAAGAAAATGATCACATGGGGCAAAACTTTCACAATGGATTCAAATATGACTGCCCCCAAGTCTCAGATCACAACTATCCCAGGTTCTGACCCCTTAGCATCCATACTCCCCAATCTGAACCCGATGCTATGACATCCCACCCACTTCCATTTCAGAACATTGATAGTGTACTTAAGACAGATTCTTTTGCGAAATCTAGCTCTGAATCTTGGGCAACTCCTTCAAACAACAGCCATGCCATGTGCCCAAGAATACAAATATTCATAATAAGAATAATAAGGAAAGTTTGGGAAAGATGCAGCTCCATCCTTGGTGCAGAGATCCTTTTACACTGAGTTCAGTCCCTCTTGATTCCAAATCTCTCACATTAAAAGATCCTTCAAACTTTTTCCTCTAGAAATACAAATCAAGACAGAACAAAATTCTGCTGACCCCTGACCAACAAGTCACACACAGGAATAGCTCCATGGGATAAGAGGTGAGAATGAGTTTTTAGGGGTGGCCACGCAGGTGAGGAGGACTCCATGAGCTCACCACACAGTCAAGGTCACAGTTGAACAGCAGGACCTCCAGGTTCCACCCCCACAGGCTCACTCTCCCTGTGACCTTGAGCTGGAACCAGATTTCTATGTCATGGGGGACTGGGCCTTGATGGTCTCTGAAGGTCTTTCAAATGACATGATTCTATCTCTGTACTCATGGAAAGTTGAGACAAGAAAGAGGCTGAAGTACCAATAGCTTCTGCTTTGTCAGAGCCCAGCAGGAGAAAGATTCATTAGGAATTCAGGTGAGTGAGAACCAGGCTCAAAGCTCAAGATTTAAGAATATGCACTCTGGAGCTGGCCCAAGCTGAGCTCAAGTCACTGTTCCTTCACATCTGGTCAAAAGAGCTCATCTGTTCACGTCTGTGCCTCCATTCCTCACTTCTTTCCCAGGGCAAGCAATAGTGGCTGCCTCCTAGATTGTCTGTTCAGTCCAGCCCCGGAGTGGCTCCTGTGGCCTGAGGGGCCATACAACTAAGGCGGGTCAGACTTCAGACTGAAGGCCACATTAGATTCAGTATTGTTTCATTTCTGCCCTTCCTGACATGCACTGGGGCGCCCTGAGTTCTCCAGAAGCCTGTGGTGGCATTTTCAGTGATGAGGGTCTCCTCCTATTGTTCCCATCTTGGGCTTCTCAGGCTCAGGTTAGAGAAGGGTCAGGCCTTTGGAACTGAGATGGAGCCCACATCCCTGGGAGCAACGGAAGCCAGTCAGCCAGGGAAGTGAGACTGGCTAGAAGAGCTTGGCTGTAGTTCTCAATACCGTGTGAACTTCCACTCTGTGAAGCAGGCAAAGAACAGAGCATCCTTCTGAGTTTACAGCTCCCTCGGGTCCAGCTCAGCTTCTTGCTCCTCAGGCCCCAGCTCCCATTTTCCCACCACTGACAGGAGAGCCAGCTGAGGCCACCAGGAAAAAGCACAAAATCCATAGGCTTAGCTCCTGTTTTTCTTTCTGCACACACAGGCACTCCCAGATTCACAAACACTCATACTCCCATACAGCCATATAGTCTTAAAATCTCTAATCAGAAGTGGCGATCAAAATTCACAAAGAAATAAAGGCTCCTGACAATGCACTCTGTGTGGCTGTGTCTTCAGCATGATTATTGAGTTGACCCTTGAATGCAGAGGGACTCAAAGGAAGAGCTTGTAGCCAAGGGGGATTGGTAGGAATAGATGATGTCAGGGTTCATGCCTGGAACCTTAGGGAGCCCCAGAATGACAGAACAGCAGAACTAGAAGGTATTACAGATCACATTTAAGTCCCTCCTCCCAAACAGGCAAAGTTCGGCTTAGCAAGATCCCTGAACAGTCACTGGGACCTTGTTAAACACTAGATTCTTCAGTCAACCTAGCCCTGCTGAACCAGAGCTTCCTGGGTGAAACTAGGCCTGGTTTCACCCTGGGGAGCTCCCCACCTCACAGGTAGTCTGTGCAGTGGTTGGGTGCTCTGTTCTTTGCCTACTTTACTTCCTGGGCAAGTAGGTACCTGCTCCCCTGTGACTCTCCCTCAGTTCTGCCCTCCACTATAGCCTCTAGTGGGGTGACAACCAGCAAATAAGGAAGGTGATTTCTGGGTCATCCCAGCCTCTCCTTTCCTCTAGTTTCTCCAATCTTGACTCTCATGACAGTTTTCAAACTTCCCCAACCACTCTCCTGGGTATATACTAGCCTGTCCCCTCACCATGGGGGCACCAGACCTGGCCCCAGGCCCAGATGCAGTGTGACCAGGGTGTCAATGATTTCCTGGCCTGTAACCAGCAGCGATATTAGAAAGCTGACTCGTTGGATTAACATGGCCTTCTCAGGGGGTACAAAGAGGCTCACATTAGCTTTAAGAGCCCAATTTTCACTGGATTTAGCTTGGGAATAACCCCTAAACCAAAGGTTTCTGGAAGACCCCAAGGGCAAGTCAATGTGAATTCATAAGCTGACCTCATAGCTTTTATATCATCTGCTCCACCATCCCCTCACCTGCACCCTGACCCCCTCCACTCTCCCCATCTCCTTCGTCCACAAAGCCACTTAATAACAGCTAACTACATGCCAGGTAGCATTCCACTGTATTAACTCATTTAAGCTTCCCATCAATCTTGTGATAGGTATCACTATCCTATTTCATAACTGAGAAACTGAGGCACAAAGAAGTACCTTCCTCCAAGTCACACAGCTTTAAGTACCAGGCCCAGGCCTTGAACTCAGGCAGCCTGACCCCAGAGCCTACCATCTTCATCTCTAGCTTGTGCTAAGCATTGTATGCCTCAGGGACCCTCTGAGAGACAGCGTTGGTGCCTGGGACAAGGGAGCATTGTCCTGAACTTCCAAACTTGTCTGAGAGGACAGACCTGCAGAATTCACTGCCATGCAAACTCCAAAGCACCAAAGCTGGCAGTGCTGGGTCTCATCGAGTTCCTTCCTCCTGCCATACTCTTGGACACATGAGCCTGTGGGACCAGGGAACAAGGCTTCATGTCACACAGTCTGCCAAGACACTGTGTACCCATGCTCTGTCCTGTACACTCCCTTTCTTCATTCTCCCTCAGCCAGACCACAAAACACAAGACTTTTATGGAAGTTGACGCCCAGAAACCACCATGCTGTTCCTTGTCAGGCCACACACATAAGTGACTCTCATTCCCCATTTCTGAAGAGTCCGTTTTGTACTGTGTTTTCTAATCCTCCAGAGAGAAGTTGGCCATAACCTTAATCTACAGCAGTGCCTTGTTGGCTTACGATCACTGCAGCACTTAATGAAGCAATGACATCCTTTTTCTCACTCCCAATCCCTCCCCTAAATTTTAATTAATTATAAATCAGGTTGGAGCATGCTCTGGAGAAGGAGGGTGTGGACCTAACAGGAAGGGATCTGCTTGTTCTTCTCCTAGAACCTCTGGCCAAAAAACTGCTGGGCTTCCTTCTCTCTGGTCCAGAATAGGAGAGGATGGTAGCTGCTGCCATAGCAAATCTGGAAACCTCTTCCTAT